CCCTAAAGCCCTGAAGCCTGACATCCTTTCGGAAGTCCATGTCTGCTTCCGCCCTTCTCTGCAAGGTCCACGGGCGCGCCGGAGTCGCTGTCCTTCCACAGCCAGTCCTCTGAAGTGCCACTTGGATTCTTAGTTTAGGGTTTAGGGTTTAGGGTCTCCAATACCCATCCTTTAAACTTTTTGGGGTTCTTCTTATTTGGTATTCATCGAAAAGTTTATACCCTTTTTTGTTTCCCTGGCTTATGGGTAAGGATTGCGCGGGAGGTACCTAGGGACCTTCAGGGTGTTTCAGGGTCTGGGGTTTAGGGTTTAGGGTTTAGGGTTTAGGGTTTAGGGTTTAGGGTTTAGGGTTTAGGGTTTAGGGTTTAGGGTGTATGGGTAGGTGATGTTGGTGGGTACCTTCAAGGTTTTCTGGCCTGTGAAGGCGGTTGCTGCTTGTTTTGGGGACATGTCGGGCTGCGGCCCCCTACGGATCCCTGCTTGTCCCCTAACCCCCCAGGTACCTACTATATAGGGTACTAGAGCCCCTAGGGCCCTACATAGTAGGTACCTGGGAGGTTAGGGTTCGGCTTGGGATGATGTAGGCTTGTCGGATTTTGTCGGTATGTGCCGTCAAGACTCGGACCGGGTCGGTCGTGTGTCGCGCGAACCAGTCGCTCAACCTTAGCTTCTTCCGCTTGAAAGCTTCTATCCCTCCCGACCCGGAAGCCACAAACAACGTAGAGAAGTGCCTGGTAGCCCGAAAGCCTGAGTCCTCATTCAGTCAGCAAGGTTGAAAGAGCCATCCGGAGCACCACAGCAAGGTAAAGAAAAACCGGGAGACCGCTAAGGCCCTCGACCGGCCCAGCCATCAAAACCCCAACCTCCTGCGTATCGAGTCCCTATACTCACCACACGGTTTAGGGTTTAGGGCTTAGGGGTTTAGGGGTTTAGGGGTTAGGGGTTTAGGGGTTTACTTAAAGGATCATGGGACTTAGTAAGTAGGGTTGCAATTAGGGTAACTATACTTATAACCCCAATTAAGGGACTTGTAACCTTACTTACTAAGTCCCATGATCCTCCAAGTAGGGTTTAGGGGTTTAGGGTCTAGGGCCCAGGGGCTGTTGGGTTCATTGCTCGGAAGCTGAGCCCGGCTGAGGTATCGGCCCACAGTTTCTGACCTCGACCTTCATGACCGGGCGACGGCTGGGGGAGGCGAAGTCCCTTAGTAAGACAGGCTTGCAGGGCTTACTTGGAGGTTCATGGGTAGGTATAAGTTGGGTTATAAGTCCCCTAATATGGGTTATAAGAAGAGTTACCCTACATATAACCCTATTTATAACTACCCATGAACCTCCAAGTAGGCTTTTGGATGAGGGTTTGAGGCGGCACCGCTGGGAGTGGACAATTTGTCGTTTGCTGCGTTCGATCAACGGACATCGTACCTGTACCTGCACATCCTGCACCTGGCGGCCTTGTGCTTCAACTCTAGCTGCCCCTAACCCTAAAGCCTAAACCCTAAACCCTAAACCCTAAACCCTAAACCGAACAGTACTGTACATCGCAACAAGCCTACTTGTGGCTGATGGTTTGTGGGAGTTTTAGACCCAGGTCTACCCCCAAAATTGCAGCGGGCGGACCTCCACGCCAAAGTCGAAAGGTTCTGTGATAACAGCAATACGGGAATAGAACTATGTTTACGTTTCAGAGAGACGCGGAATAGTTTCGTCAAAGCTCGAAGGTCGATGACCAATGTAATAGGAACCATCATCGCATGTGGACAGACAGGTCGTAGTCACAGTCATCGTCGCGGTCATTTTTTATATTATAATATATAGGGGCCGTAGTAATTGCCTAGACTATCTTGGCGGTTCCTTACTATGAATAGAGCATAATATAGCCCAAAACCCTTATCTAAGTATTAAGGCCCCTAAACCCTAAACCCTTATAGTAGCCCTTATAGAACCCTTCAAAGAACCCTTCAAGGAACCCGATTCTAATTGTTAAGGTCCCTACACTGATACAATATGACGGTACGAGGCCCTAAATCTAGAAAACCCCTCAGCCTGGAACAGAACCCTAATCCCGAAGCCCCAAACCCTAAAACCCCTCAATCCCTAAACGCCAAACCCACTACACTTAAAAAAAAAAAAAACCTAAACCCCAAAACCCCTAAACCCTAAATCCCTCAGCCTGGAACAGGGCACCTGGTCCCACTAGGCTCCGGCCACGAGGTGCCTTGGAAGCGCTGCTGTTTTCAAATAGGGTTTAGGGTTTAGGGGTTCAAGATTCTTCAAAGCGTTGCTTGAGGTTTAGGTTTAGGGTTTAGGGTTTAAGACCGGGAAGTGTCTCAGGAAGGATATAGAGCAGGATAGCAGATATTCTAAGAGAGATCTTGGTCCAAGTGCCCGCAGCACTTGGAGTGGGTTCGCCGCTTGACCGGTGCAGGCAAGAGCGGGGTCAGCTTCGGGCTTCTCAATCTTTTTTTGAGGTATCCTTCCCCTTATACTTGGAGGTTCATGGGTAGCTATAACTAGGGTTATAAGTGGTGTAACTATACTTGTAACCCATATTAGGGGACCTATCACCCAAGTTATAACTACCCATGAACCTCCAAGTAGCGGATGAGGTTACGTGGCCTAATAGGGCAACATAGATGCAGCGCCCACGCCATGTCGACGACAAGACCAACAGACAAATGCATCATCAAACATGTATCAGCTTCCAGCGGACAGCTTGATGCAAGGCTATAATGTGTCCTATCCTATCTATGCGAAGCAACTGCATATTCTGAAACCTCCAACTCTGCATACATCAGTCTGAGTCCACGTCAAACCACTGAGCCCTTGTGCCCCCTGCTGCTCGAGGCCATCGGTGGCAAACTCGCCACGACCGAGGCGACCTTGGGCTATGTCGTTTGCTGTATATTAGAACGTGTTCACAGAGCTTGTGTGGGCAGTGTTACGCCGGAAAACTTTCGAGATCTAGCAAAAAGATGATGCATGCTTCAAAGTTCTCTGTGGTATCCTGAGCAAACCGCACAAAACTCCCCCTATATTCCCGAGACTCCATGTGCAAAACAGGACCTACGAAAGAGATCGAGACAATGGCCACTAGACTAGACGAAAGCCCACTTAGCCCGGACATGGTGATGAGGACGCGATGCGAATGACAGGAGTTTGGTAGCGCTCACAATGTTTTGGCATCAGGCTGCAGTGTTCAACGTTCAAGGCTAGGGTTTATAGGGTTTAGGGTTTAGGGGGCTAGGGTTATGGGAGTTGTACTCGAATGATTGCGCAGTCAGTGGTCAGCATGCACACAGCATCAGCTGCCCAGTGATTCTGCGCGACACACATAAACATGCACGAACATACACCGTCCCTCTGTCATTTCAGACAGCTCGCCCTCAAATCGACGCTCTTCAAACAAGTCTAGCCAGAAAAGGGAACAAATGTGCAGATTCTAGGTGTTGATCCGACCCCTTGGGCTACACGCATGGCTCGACATCCTAAAAAACCAACCCTGTGCAGTTTGCAGATGCCAATTCAATTTTTTAATCTAGCGCCCCCCCCCCCCCCCCCCCC